GAAGATAAAATACATTAATAATTATTAATTATAAAATTAACAATTAAATTTATGTTGTAAAATAAAAAAATATTAATTATAATACTTTTTAATTAATAATTATTATTATATCTTATTTTTTAAATATGAATTAATTATAATTCATATTACTTAGGTTAGATATGTTTTTATTATTAATTACGGTCGTAATTATTAATAATCATTAAAATATGATTTTATATCGATTATTTGACGGTTTTGCGGAAACAGCGTCGGCATTTATATTCAAATATTGGTTGACTAGATGATCCAAATCTTGTTAATGTAGTACATAGCGAAGCACGCCGTTGCTCTAACACGTGCACTCTTATTACTGGTCTGTGATTTACCTCAACGGAATTCAGCGACGTAGTAGCAATCTTTGTGGGATAATACAGAGGGAGGGCGAGCGAGGCCGTTACTTATATATCTCTCTGCTATCGCCGGAATCACTCTTTTATCTCACCGGAAAATTATTGATCATCCATCGCCGGCGAGCACCGATGGTGAATCCCTTGGTAGAACGTGCCACGAGCAGCTTGCTCCTGGGCCCTGACTGGGCCTTGAACATGGAGATCTGTGACATACTCAATCGTGACCCTGGGTGCGTCTACCGCTTCTTTTTTGTTTTCGTACCTAATCGAGAGCACGTGTCTTTTGTGCGCGATTTCCTTCTCCTTTCTCTTCGCTCTGTGTTTTGATCGAATAGTTATTTGTTTCATGTGAGATATGGAAGAATAATTATTACGAACAATAATGCATGAGTGTGATTTCCTTGGTTTTCTGATAGGAATGAATTCTGGCAATGAAAGCTGTGTTATAGAGTGGAATTAGTGTCGATGGATTAAGATCGGTGTTTCGTTGATCCTTCTATGATTTTTCTGCTCTTATAATCTTGTTTATTTCAGGGTGATGATGGTTAGGGGAACACTATTGCATTGTTTTAACTGTAACGGCAATGGAACAGAGAAATTTTGGAATAGGAAATTTCAAATTCGAGTTTGACTTGAGTTTTCACTTTTTGAATTGGTGATTGAGGATTGAGTGTTGTTGTTCCATTGATCAATTAGGGAATAGGGATAGTAGATGGCTATTATGGATTATGCTGATTCGTGCATGATCCGCTTATGCTGTGTGATGTCTAATTTGCTTCTGGTCACTATGAATTATCAGTTTCCTTCAATAAGCCTTCTAGGAGCTAATATTTTTGTGTTTGTGCCTATTGGAATACGTTTCAAGATTTGGAAATCTTATAACTGAATCTTGATTATGAGTTGATTTTGTCTTTTGCTAATCGGAGAAAGGGGTGGCACATCTCATTTTATTCTTTATGTTTCTATGCATTTCTGAGTTTTTGCCGATTGGAAGTGGATTTTTCTTTCTTTTTCTTTTAATGGATATTGGTCCAAGGTGGTCCAGAGCAAGGTATTTTCATGCTCAGATTGATACCGCTCTTGATGGTGACTGGCTTCAAAAGGGTTGGACAGGACGGGGCATAGCGGATGTAGGGGCGGTACTTACAAGGACTCTAACGCCCAAGTTAAAGAGGGTGGCAGAGTCACGGTATATATGGAATCTAAGATCTTAATCGTAAAGGAGAGGAGTCATGTATTTATAGTTGAAGGTGGTTTATTTTGGATGTATGATAGTTACCAAATCCAGCGGGTTGATGGTGATAAGTAGCTGTATTTCGGCAATAAAGACAGGAGGCCATCAAATACCTTCTGTCCTGGACTCCTGGCTATGATCAACAATCAAGGGCCAGGGCCACTTGAAGGTGTTTTAGTATAAGACTTATGTGGTGGAAGAAAGGGAACATGGGGCTTTCTGAGTGGGCAATACTTCATAACTGTGATCTGTACTTTCCCTTGTACCATGTGTTGGAATGAATCCTCTAGATGATCTATGGTAAGTCGTTTGCTCAGGCCAATGAGAGGCGGATTTCCAGGTTCCTTCTGTCTTAGCTGAGGCATCACATCTTGATTGTGGGGGACATCTGTGTGGGCCCATTGCTTTGTGCTTATCTGGGTTGGGTCGGAACAGACATAATGTTTAACTGGAATTTTATGAATAAATTTTGGTTTGTACTTCCCGAGTTTAATAACTTAGTTTGTTATGATTTATCAGGATGGCAAAGGATGTTGTTAAAGGTTTAAAGAAGCGGATTGGAAGTAAACTTCCTAGAGTTCAAATTATTGCTCTGACTGTAAGCTCATATATTTTATTATATACTTTTTCAACTCATATCTTTCCATTGTTCTAGCAGCTGCTTTTGAGTCCCTGTTTCTCTTATTTGTTCATCTTTTTAGATTACTCTTTGACCTGATACTTCTACACTGTTGTTGATTTAATGTTTTCATCTTTTATTACCTGTCTCATAATAGATTTAAGGGAAAATAGATGCATATTCCACAACTACCATATATACCTGTGGATTAAAGGAAAAAGTCATTAGAAGAGAAGAAAACTTTCAACTAGGTTGATTCCTTGGATTCATTTTCTTGATGTTGATTGATAAATAACTGCTGTAATATTTTGTTATCTATTCACTATTATTTGGGGATGATACAATGGGAATTTTAGCATAGGTTGTTTTTTTGATGTTTATTTAGTTATTATAGTGTGCGTGCTAAATTGTTGAAAAGGACTGATATTCCTCTAGAATGTTCAAATAACATTGTTTTATATCTTCCATATGTTGATTTTATCTTGGAAAGAAATTGTACACATTTTTTTTAGATATGTCTGTGACGAGAAGATGAGATTTTACTAAAGGTGTCCTCTCATTTGGTGAGATATCTTAGTCATACAAACTCCTTCACTCAGAAATTCCAACATCCTTACTCTTACCAATTTTCTAATGATAGATAGATGATGTAGGATAACTTTGTAGGGTTGAATTTGTAGGACTTGAGTTGAGAAATAGGGAGAGAAAAGTGATGTTGAATCGGTGATGACTTTGGCAAGTATATCAAATCATACAAGTAATAAAGAGGAAGAATGGATATCATTTCCACCAGGCCACCAATCACTAATTGAAAACATTAACACTGGTTGAATGGAATTAAATGCAGTCATTGAAAGAAACTAAGTAAATTAAACCTAAATTTAAATTTAATGAATATATATAAAAAAAAACTAGTCAAGCAATAGAATGGTTTTAGATTTATAAGTTTTTTAATATAAAGTTTTTAGGATGTTGATTTCATCCAATTCTTCATATGTAACATAGCTTAGGCATATGTTTGTAAATAAAATTACTCATTCCTTTTTTTTAAACTCGTAGAAAAATAATAATAAAAAAAGATTATATAAGCTGAACCAAACACACAATAGTTGCAACTGAAGCTCTGATTCCAGATTTGAAGGTTAAATTCTGTAAATTAATTAACCACCACCTCCATAGTTAATCCTGTTTTAATCAAATGAAGCCACTAATTCCTTAGCAAACCTCTTATGAGGAAATGGAGTTATCAGAACAGTAAGCTTTCAGCAAAACGACATCAAATTACTAACTCCATTTGTTGATCTTATAAATTAGTGCAAGTGAACCTTAGATGTAGCTTATCGCAGAATTTTCCAATTGAATTATAAACCCATGATCAATCCATGGCTAGCTATACCCAAGAAGCATTGTGCAAGAAAGACCACTTCTCAAATCATAAGCAAAAAAGATTAGATTAGCAACTCCAATTACATTATGCAAATTGAACTACATCAACTCCCTGATGTGGACTACTAATTAGGATTGCCATTCTCTTTTAAATCTTGATATTTTCCAGTTTATTTTGTTTCTTTATCTTTTCCTATCTTAATAAGATCTACATATCAGAATCCCTGATTTCGTATCCTTAGCATTATTATCCTTTATTAAAATGATTGTTAGATATGATCGTACTAATTAGGGATATTATTTTTTTGATCAATTAAGATAATTGTTAGTTATTATCTTATTAATTTGAGATATCTTTGTATCCATTTTAAAGGGAAACTTGATTGGAATAGTATCAAATATCAATGAGCAATAATTATCAGAAAACTTGGCCCTGTCAAGAAAGAGTCTGCTTCTTGCTTTCACCATGGTGGCAAGGATTATTCTTTGTCTAGTTTTGTGACTCAATCCTACACAAAGGTTCATATCATAACACACCCTAATAGAGATTTAGTTACAAGATCATTGCTAAGAATTGAGATGAAGAAGAGAGGAACTTCATCGAAAAATTGATGAAGGAAAAATTGATAGATGATTCTTCAAGCTTTCTCAATCCAACACAAAAGTGTACTTGTTGCCCCTCATATTGGAAGTGTACTTCAAATCCTTTCCTTTCTCTATTTAAAGCCCCAAGTACAGTTAGTGAGTATTGATAGTGCTCAGGTGCTAGTCTTCTAGCTCTCAGGTGCTAGGCACTCAAAGGCAAATATCATTTCATGTGCTCACGTGCTGGGCATGCAAAGAGGAAATTCAAGCTTTTATGGCCAATGCTCAAGCATTGGCTTTGTGATGCTCAGGCATTGGCCTACCACAGAAGATTTTCTTGCACTCAAATGAATTCCACTTCCTTGCTTTCCTTGCTCTTTGCAACAAATATATTACCTATTCAAAAAAAATTAAATGAGAATACTTACTATTGTCAAATTTCACCTGAATTGTGTTAAATGACAATTCCAACTGCTTAAGAATGAGCTTTTGTTAGGAACAAATGACAAATGAAACATCAATTTAGCACCCAAATGATATTTTAATTATCTCACCGAAAAGGATGGGAAATGAGATCTAACTACATCCTAAGTGGAATATTGTTCTTAACATAATTTTATTAACTTTCTTAGAAACCAGAGAAATCAGAGGTAAAAAAGGAATATTAAGAAAGGTCTTAACACTCCCTTATTAAACTTATTTATTAGCATACAAATCCTAATGACTAATGTATAACAAATCCTAACACTTAAAAAAGACCTAATCATAGAAAACTTGAATAAAATATAAAATAATCCTGCTATAATAACTAGCAATGTTGTTAAACCTTAATGCTATAGTAACACTTAAAATAGACCTAATTCCATGAACTGCCTTTATCTAAATGCTTCTAAAGTTCTAATAGCAACTGAACATTGATCATAATTAACCCCTTTTACCCTGCATCATTGGGTTTCTTTTAGCATGTGCATTTGTGCTTACATTGTTTGTTTATATTGCTTTGCCATGTTTGGGGATTATTTCAACATCAAATTTTAGTGAAGGATTGGTTTGTAGGGGACCTCTAATAATGAAATGCAATATGTTGTTTGAGAAAATAATAATAAAAAACCATGAAATATTAGCTTCCATTACAGCTCATTGGCTCTATGTGGTTAAGCTGTGGAGGCATTGAGTCATTTTATTAGATTTGAAATGCTAGCAATTAAAAATATTGCATCGTCATCTGGTCAATATTTGTTCTAACATGCACTGTGAAAGGCTTTCTAGATAGCTTCTTTAGTGTGCCATTTTCTTTTTTGATGTTTGAAATAGAAGTCTTTTCACCGAACTAGTTTGGAGTAAAATCCATAGTAGTGTGATGTATAAAGAAAGTGAATGTTCCATAATGCAGTTGATGTTTTTTCTACATATTTTCTGTATGCTTGAGTTCCTTACTTCCTTTTGAGAATACCCTAGAGCTGTATATATTAGGTTTGCTCAGAGGATTCTATCTAGTTTTCATATAATAAAAATGTCTGTATTATCTTTAATAATTTCCATTTGCATTTAACTCCTATATTTTAGCTCCTGGAGACTATCATAAAGAATTGTGGGGACATTGTCCACATGCATGTTGCTGATAGAGATGTTCCTCATGAGATGGTGAAAATAGTAAAGAAGAAGGTATTTGTATTTCTTAAATGTTTTCATAGCCTTCCTAATTTATACCTGATTTCATTATGCAGAGTATGTTGTTTATCATATTTATCATGCAAATTGCAGCCTGATTATCATGTCAAACAGAAGATATTGATTCTTATAGATACTTGGCAAGAAGCTTTTGGAGGGCCGAGGGCAAGATATCCACAGTATTATGCAGCATACCAGGAACTTTTGGTATGTTTATCAACTTTCTTGCATCAAGATTTATTTACCAAGTATTTTATCTCCACTTATCATTACAAAAATGAATAGATTCAGTTCTTAAAGGAAGCATTTGTCACTTTTCTTTTGGACATGATGCTCATCATCTGATTGCTTATATGGGTTTTGACCGAGTGTTAACGGTTACAATCATAATATTTTCATAAACCTTTTCAAATTTAATTTGTATCTATTCCTTTTGTTCTATAAAGGATTTGTTTGTTTCAGCATGCTGGGGCAGCATTCCCTCAGAGGTCTGAGCAATCTGCACCTGTATTAACGCCACTACAAACACAACCATTGTCATCATACCCTCAAAATATACGAGATTCTGTTGCTCAGAAAGACACAGCTGAGTCCTCAGCAGAGTCTGAGTATCCAACCCTAACGTACATTTCTATCTTTTTTCTGGTTATCATGTATAAGGTAGTTGACTTAATTGTTGATAACATGATTTTTGATTGATACTCATCTCTTGGTGTCTAATTCTCATGCCATCTTTAGATTTTTCTTTGATGGAATGTGTTAATTAATATAGTTCTTATGTAGTTCTGTGTCATAACCATAGCAATTACTCAGATGTCATATTTTAAAGCCATATACCATTTCTTTTATAATTGGAATATCTTTGTGTAATGAACTGGTTGTTGCATCATCTTTCTTCTAATGAATGAAGCAAAATAAGATGATTTTTGGGGAACCAATTGTAACTAAAAGAAAATATGCAAGATTTATTTAAAGAAGGAATCAAATTGTTAACTGGCTATTCATTTTTTATTTATTTTTTCTATATCATGTATAACCTGAAAAAGTGATAGGCAATTGAATTTAAAGTTACCTCTTGTTTCTTGCTTGATATGATAGTATAAATTAATGCTAGTCTAGATACAATCATCACTCATCAGCCTCTTTAAAACTGACATTTATTTTTTCAAAATCTAAGAACTTGAACTGTATGATTAGGCTATAATTAGTGTAATGAACATGTTTCTTCTAAGATTAGGCTATAATTAGAGGAATGGAAACTACATGCCATTTCCAACATATTCTTTTGGCACATGTTAGGGCACTGGTTAAGAAAACAAAAGGCAAAAGTATTTGCTGGCAGAGAAAACATTTATTATATTAAAACCACAAAAAAATCATTTCATACTTGTTTTTTAAAAGTAATTGGAAGCATTTAATAGGGTGTATTAATTCCTCATTAACCAGTGTCCTTAGGGCCTTTTTGAACATGACCCTATGTTTTATTGTTATGTGAATTTGAGTCTCACTAAACAGAAACTAGAAAATGGGCCCAGATTTTTTCGTGGGACTCACATAAAATATGCCCAATAGCTGGGTGTATATTGTTACCATTTCTCTAATCATTATTATGATGATGATGATAAAATTATGCTACATGGAGCATTGGAACCAACTACTATCAATAATCATGCATTGATTTGTTTTGATTGAACTTTCTTTTGCCAGTTTGACTGAAATTCAGAATGCACGTGGTATTATGGATGTTCTTTCAGAAATGCTAAATGCATTAGACCCTAGTAACAAAGAAGTAAGTTGTTCAGTCCAAACTTTCAAATTATGCTGTAAACGAAAAAGAAATATATTTTGTGAAGTTTAAGGCTTTTATCAACTGATTTTATTGAATATATGTGACATTTCATGTATGACCTTTTTTTCAGGGGATTCAGCAGGTAGTTATTGTTGATTTGGTGGAGCAATGTCGAACATACAAGCAGAGAGTGGTACACCTTGTCAATTCAACTTCGTAAGGTCTCATGTCCCTTTTCATGATATTATGATATAATTGATGCCAAATTATATTCTCTTTACATGTTTGATTCATGTTACCTCTATTCTTAACAAGTTTCCTTCTATAAATCCAAAGTAAAAACCATTAATTATGGCATGCTTTTGTCTACTTTTACAGGGATGAGTCCCTGCTATGCCAAGGACTAGCTCTGAATGATGATCTGCAGCGTGTTCTGGTCAAGCATGAATCCATTGCTTCAGGATCTTTGGGTTCCGGAACTTCTGCTCAAAATCATACTGAGAAACTGAATCCTGCACCTACTGGAGCAGTCATAGATGCTGATGGTCCTTTGGTTGATATTGGAGATACTAGTAAACAAACAGATGGGAGGTTGCCAGTGTCTATTGTTTCTCCTCATTATTGCTCTGCATTCATTGACATGATTCTATCAGTCTTACCCAATGAGAATTCAAATTATTCCTTCTAAATTTCATAATTCAAAATAAATTCCATACTCTGTGCCAATGAAATCCTAGAAAATTGTTTGTATTGTTTCTAGTGGAATGATGTCTTTGCTGTTAGGCTTTGTGAATTTTTGTGCTATTATTTTATTTTGGATACTATAGTTATTGTCATTCTTCATATATGTACTTGGGAGTGTTATATGTGTCACCATCAGAAGTCTCCATTTATGTGTTTTTCTTTATACATCAATAATTGTTGTTGAATCTTGTCTTTGATGAACCAGGTAATAAGCCTAGATTTGGTTGTAGACTGGCATGTGATATTTTGGTTCATGTATAAACGTGCAGGAATAGATTGGTGTATGAAATTAAATTCCAAGTTGACTTAACCTGTCTGGTGCCTTCTAATGGCTTATCATTTTAATATATTTTTGCAGATCATCTTCCGGTGCTGAAGCTGGGTCTCAAACATTGAATCAATTATTGCTTCCTGCACCCCCAACATCAAATGGATCAGATCCCCCTGCAAAGGTTGATCCCAAAGTGGACCTGCTGAGTGGTGACGACTTTAACTCACCAAAAGCAGAGACTTCACTTGCTCTTGTTCCCGTAGGAGAACAGATACCAGCCAGCCCTATGTCTCCACAGAATGCCCTTGTTCTTTTTGATATGTTTTCTAATGGAAGCAACGCACCTTCTTCTGTTATTAACCAGCCAATTAATGCTGCTGGCCAAACCAGTCCGTTAGCTCCTCAATTTCAACAACAGCAGACTTTCATATCTCAAGGGGTGTTTTACCCCAACGGGAGTGTGCCAAATGTGGGGTCACCTCGGTATGAGCAATCACCATTTACACAGAGCACAGGTCCTTCCTGGAATGGTCAGGTTGTGCAGCAGCAACAGCCTCGTTCACCAGTTTATGGTGCGCTTAATGCTTCTTTTCGATCCCTGATTGCCTTTTAAGTTAACAAATTCATAGGTCTTAAACGTTATCTTTCCCAACCGACTCTCTCATATTGGGGATATTTTTACATCATTCACCTTTTTTTTTTGTTTTTTTCTTTTATGGTTTACAGGTACAGAAAGCAGTGGATCATTTCCGCCACCTCCCTGGGAAGCTCAACCTACAGACACTGATAGTCCAGTAGCAAGCAGTCAATACCCACATCCACTGCAAGTCACTCAAATGGTTATGACGCAAATACAACATCCTCTAGGACCTCAAGCAATGGGGCATGACCAGGCTGTTGGAATGTATATGCATCCAAATGCTAGCCATATGTCAACTATGAATAACCCTGCTCAAAACAATCAGTTTGGCTTGCTCCCTCAACATATTCAGGGTGTTCCCGGTCCCTATATGGGTATGGTTTCACATCAAATGCATAATAGTCCTGTTGTTTCCATGTATCCTCAGCAGATGTATGGCAACCAATTCGTAGGATATGGCTATGGTCAGCAACCAGGGGTTCAATATCTTGAGCAGCAAATGTATGGTTTGTCAGTGAGAGATGATGGTGCTCTGAGAAATTCTTACCAGGTTTCTGCTACATCCTATGTGCCACCTGGGAAGCCTTCCAAGCCTGAAGATAAGTTATTTGGGGACCTTGTTAACATGGCAAAAGTGAAACCAAAACCTGCTCCTGACCCAACTGGTAGCACGTAGAACTGTGATTGGATTTACATTTTTCACCTGTTTGCTAAATCTTGTCCTCTTTTTTCTTCATTCTTTTCATTTTACTTTTACATATATTAAATATAATAATGTGTATATTTATTTTGTTATATAGAGTTGCTTGTTTGGCAATTGGCAATAGATTATGTACATTTTTTATAGAGGAAATACTGAACATAGAAAGGGAAAGAAAGATATCATCCTATGGGTTGAACTGAACTGTTAGTGGCATCTGTATTCCTCCTCTGGAATGGGACACTTTTTATGGTTAGAAGTCAATTTGGCGTTCCCTTAAAATTGGATGTGAAATTTCGTGAAATATGTTTCCCCCAAACTAGTTTAATGGGGATGCACTTTAAGGAAGAATAGAAATATTGTTGATATTTGGAAAAAGAAAAAATTCTATTTGTAATTAAAAAAAAAAAAAAGTAATCGTAGAATTTCATTTTCTAATGAAATTCAAAATTTGAATTTTAAGAAATTTTGATTATTATCTTAATGAATATATATTAATTACTGGGAAAATGCATCGATATGAAAAGAAAAAAATAGATATGTGAAGATATAATTTAAAATATTTTTTCTATTATTTATAGATTCTATAGTGTAATATAATTTTATATAGGTATCTTACCACAATTCACCATAAATGTAATTTTGTTGATTTATACATTAATTGTCTTAAAGAGTTTAAAGATCAAAAGTCGCTATTTGTATAACTAGTTATTATAAAAGTTAATAATATTATAAAAATTAATAAACTTATCGTTGTATTGTATATAAATCCATCAAAATATTAAGTAGGACAATTGAGTGATTAAAATTCAATTAAAAGAGTAGTCTTTTTACTTCTTTGTTTTTGTTTTCTTCTAAATTTTAAAACTAAACATCTTTTTAATATTTTTTTCATTTCATTTTTCTTTAACCAAATATTATGAATTTTTTGGTAAGATTTAAAAGATGAATAGAAAAATAGATTTATATGGTATTCATAATTTCTTGACACCTATGATATTCATAATTTAAAGTTTAAATTATTAATATTTTTTTTAACAGAAAAAGTATTTTCACAAGTTATTAACATATTATAAATATTTTAATACTTAGAGCATCTAGCTTACAAAACTCTTAAACGTAAGAATAAGTTTTTATATAATTATAATAATTTAATTATTGAAGTAATTGATGTGAAGTTCTTGCCTTATAATAATTGTTTATATAAACAAAAATTCTCAAATAATTGATAGACAAAAAAATTAAATAATAAAAGTATATTGTTTAAATTAGTATTATAATTAGTCTATTAGTTTCAAGTTTTTAAATTTGATTAAAAAATATATTTTTTTTTAATTTTTTCAAATAAAAGAATATAATAATAAAAAAAAGTAGAGATCAAAGTGATTACTGAAAAAAGTATTTTCTTTATATATTAATATAGATAAATATGTTATTGATGACTAAAGATTAAAATAATATTTTTAAAAATTATAAAATTAAAAATAATCGAAAGAGTGAATTACTTATACACAAAGAAATTTAATATAAAAGGATTTTTTAAGCAGTCAAAGTTATGATTTTAAGGAAAATAAAGAGGAATATCAATGTAAAACTAATATATATATATATATTTAAGACTTGACTAAGATCGATACGAGACAAATATGAAATATTTAATTTTTATCTAGCGTTATCTTTTGTTAAATTAAAATTAAATTTATCACAATTTTTTTAAGAAAATATTTAAATAAATAAAATAAAAATAGAGAAAGAAACGCGGGTGCCAACTGTACTCGAGACCGGTGCCTATCTATCGTGTTGTTGGTGGGTCCACTGTTTTAGGGTTTGCATTGCAGAGTTCCATTTTACTTTTCATTCATTTCCGATCCATTATTCTTCCTCTCGCCAGTTCCAAAGATATCGATCAACACCTTCGTGCTACACGGTACGCTACTTTCTTCCTTAAATCTCGTTTACGATTTCTCAATTTTGTTCCATGAATCTATAATCAAATATATATCTTAACACCGCAGTTAAATTATTTTCCAGGTCGCGCATATCCAGCATGCAGGTTCGTTGCCACTCACTATTTTTCTTTCTTTTTTTATACATTTTTTTTTCTGGTTAGAGTTGATGTGATGGACGCAATTGTTGAGAGTAATGAATCTGAATGGATGTAGTTGTTATGGTGTGGTTTATCTTTGGGACTAGGTGTTTAGAATTAATTTTGCGAGGTGATGGTTTGTGCTCGATTTTGTTGCCATCTCTTGCGATTGCAATTTTATCGAGGTTGATTCTTCAATTTTGACTTTGGATTGCGTTTTTCACGCAGGCATCGCGGGCAAGGTTGCTCAAGGAGCACAAAGAGGTGCAGCGAGAAAAGGCAGTTGATCCTGATATTCAACTAGTCTGTGATGATTCCAGCATTTTTAAATGGACGGCTCTTATCAAGGTGTGCTTCCTAAGGCTTGTCATTTCAACCTGTTTGTGAATGCGATGATTCTCACATTTGCTCTGCTTTGTTTTTGTTTACGATTAGGGACCGTCTGAGACTCCTTTTGAGGGGGGTGTGTTCCAGCTTGCCTTTTCTGTTCCGGAGCAGTATCCTCTACAGCCACCCCAAGTCCGGTTTCTAACTAAAATATTTCACCCAAATGTGCATTTTAAGGTAGGACGGATCCTGCTGTAAATCAGTGTCTTTTACTGGTACTTTTTAGATGGTGAAGAGCAAGCCTATGATTTCTGAGGAGAATTATGCTATCCTAATTTATTTCACAATTTTCACTAATGGATGGTTTCTGAATTTTTCCGAGTGATGTGTAGTTTAAACAATATATATGGATCTGCTTGGTGCATGGGATTGGAATTGTAGTTCAAAATTGTACTTCCAAATTCCAGTTCTGATTGGTTCAGAATTATAATTCCTATGTTTGGATTTTGTAAGAAATTAGAGCTTAGAATTATAATTCTATGTTGAATTTCGACTCTATTTTGACACCTATTTAATTTAGGGTAGTTGGGTAAGGTTATGTTTGATGATTTAATCTGCAGGTGGTTTTGATGATGGTGGGGGTGGAGTTAAGGGGTGGTGGTAGTAGCAATGGATTTTGCAACTATGGTGATGGTGGCAACAACAAAGATGGTGGGGGTGGCACAGTAGCAAACAAAGTTGGCGACTGTAATGATTGGCAATACAACAATGATTGGAGGTGGTGGAAGTGGGTTGAGAGTGGTGATGAGTGGTGGTGGTAACAATTGTTGGTAGGGGTTGTGATGGTGGGAGTGACTATGAAAGTGGTGGAGGTGGCAGGGGGAGCACCAAAGATAGGGAGAACAGCTGAATGGTGAGGATGAATTTAGGAATTGTAGTTTAGCCGTTTAGGGGGAAGAGGTTTGGATTGAAAATTGTTAGTTTTAATTATATTAGAATCCATGGAATTGGAGTTTAGAATTGTTCCAATTCTAGATTAGCTGTCATAATTCCATTTCCAAGCTCCAATCCCATGCATCAAACGAACACTAATAGTTTGCATGGGGAATGAAAAAGTTGTTCCCATATATCCTGGTAGCCCTGCTATGAACCATCAGTATTGAAATGAGAAAGTTCTGCAACTTCTATCATAGACATACTTTAGTGCTCATGTATGATCTTTGTAAATAATAAGTGTGTGCTTGGTCTTGGTTGTCTTGATTACCTTCTCAATGATGGAAAGACCAATAATGTTAATCTTTTATGGGAGGCTGATACGTTAAAGAAACCTAAGCTCTATGCCTACTATTAATTTACCGGTTTACCCATTTCAGTTTCATAACAAACTTGTTGAAAATTGAAAGCATTTGAATTGAATTTGATTGCGTCAATTTCAATTATTTTTGCTTTTCTTTTATTCTTCATAAGTTGATGGATAAATCTTTTTTTTTTTTTTTTTGGGATTTGGTGTTCTTAATATTTCTTCATTACAATTGTTTAAACATCTTGTACTTTTCCAGACTGGGGAGATTTGCCTAGATATCTTGAAAAATGCTTGGAGCCCAGCTTGGACACTTCAATCTGTCTGTAGGGCTATAATTGCTTTGATGGCCCATCCAGAACCTGACAGCCCACTGAATTGTGATTCAGGTTGACAAGCTTTCTCCAATTTTTATTGTTTTCTCATTTATCTCTAGTTGCGTGTCAAAAGAAAGTATTATTCTCCTATGTCTCCTACCTCCCTTCCCCAAATGACAAGAAAGAACTGTAAGAAAAAGAAACTTGAATTCATATGATACTCTACTGTCGTATACATTGCGTTGATTGTGGAATGAATTTGGATTTTAAGTTTGAGAAAATGCAAAAGATATGCCAACAAACTAATCTATCCATCCACATGCTTATCAATTTTGCTCGAGAGAATGGATTGGAAGGTGGTGCACTAGAATCTGGTGTTTCATATGTTGTCTTTAATTGCATGTGATGTTTGAATTTACATGTATATTTCTAGATTTTTGCGGGTGATTATAAAACTATCTACAATAGCATTTTGGTAATATTGGGAAAATAAAGAACTTGAAATCCTTAAGCCGTCAGCTCATTCCAAATCTATGCCTTCAAGTATTTTTTTTTTTATCTAATAATCACAAAGGTGAAATGAAAAACTTGTAATTTTGTCGACCAGTATGAAAGAAGACTTTTTTTTTTCTGGCACTTGTTTTATTTTATTTTATTTTTTGTTGTTACAGGCAACCTTTTGCGTTCAGGTGATGTTAGAGGGTACCAATCCATGGCAAGAATGTACACAAGACTTGCAGCAATGCCAAAGAAAGGCTGAATGATTTTAGATAACTTGTTTCCTAGTTTTGTCTAGGTAACAAGTTAGCAGTAGATACAGCAGTTTGTTCTAATCTTAATTTGTTTCAAATGTGTAAATTTTAAGACATGATATTCATTGTTGATGATATGTATTAAACTAGTGACTTGTACAGAGTGTAGGTGTGTGACTTCGCATATCTGGATTCATGCCGGAATTGAGTTCTAAACATATTCAAATAATCCTTGATTGCTTCAGTTTTATGTAAGTCAGATTTTGAGCTTGCATTTAATAATGAGTCCTAAGCGGTTCGACTGGTCGTTATTCACAGTCTAATTCTTGGTTCCTTTTGGTGGCAATGGATCCTCTAATGTGAGGTTTTCACTTTGATACTTCCATGTGAAAATCTTAACCATCAAAGTCTCATACCTTTTTTTATTATTTAAATTCTCTCATTTTTAACTGAAGAATTATATTTCATTGGACATGAAAGGATCCAAGCCCTCTTTTGGATGAAGCTTTTTACTTCTTCCTGGTGGATTAATCATTTGAATATCAATGGGACTTGATTCACTTACATTTGATGGTCGTGATCTCCTCGAAGGAAGAAACTTCTTGGGGAGGGGTCACTGGATAACCATGATCCTTAAACATACGGTTCGATTTTCAGTTGTGTATAAAATAACATTTACTGCGATATGTTAGTTCTTTAAATGTATTTTAGTATTGTGAGGAATTAATCTCTAATTTCTGGTAAGATACCTTGGATTAACTAAAAATGTATCTCAATCATGGGTAAATTAATAAAATAAGGAGGAGTGGTATTTATTTTGCCCTAACCCTAAATGGTTGGGGGGAAGGGAGACAATTTGGGGGGTTCGATGAAATATGATGGAAACCATTTCATTAGAAATCTGCCCTATTTCATTACAATTTTATCGACTACAATCCATCTCTTACCACTAATCTAAATGGAGCATAATGTTTGTGCGACAATAGCAATACATATTGGAAGAATTTTTGTTAGCCAAGGATATTGAGTTAGATTGCCCAGTTATATGAATTCTGTCATGTAGTAGTTGGCATTCAGTGAAGCCACTGTATTGATGATCCCAGTGTATATAAAACATCAATGTACTCGTAATACTGTGCGAGTGTGATGATACACTACAGAATTATTTTTCTCACACGAGTAGTTCAGCTTCTCCCTTGCCATTGTGTAATTTTCCATTACTAGTCAAATACTTTTATGGTGTGTTTGGATGAGGAATTTTACAAATTCAAGGAATTTTAAATTCTTAGTATATGAATTACTTTGATTTTAATTTCTATCATTTTTAAAATATTTTGTTTGGATAAGTCAATTCAAATTTCTTAAAATTTAAATTGTTAGGTTGAATATGATAATTTGATTCCACCATAGTAAAATTAATTTTAAAAATATATTTATATGTTAAGATTTTTAAATTAAATTTTATAAAAATAAATATTAATCTATTTTTAAATATTTAATAATTTTAAAAATTAATATTAGATAATATTTAATAATTTTACAAATATTTTTGAATATCCAATAATTAAAAGAATGAAGAGATAAGATAAAATATATAGGTGAAATAAGAAAAAACAAATATGAGGAATTTTAAATTTTCTAATTTTTGGAAGAATTTAAAATTTTACTATTTTAAGAAATTCCACAAATGTTTAGATTTCAAATTCTTTATAAATTCCCCTTCCAAACAAAGCAATTCATTTCAAGAAATTTAAAATTCTTCAAATAAATGAATTATCTTATATAAATTCTTCGTCCAAATATATAATTATTGTGTTTGCCTAACGTGCACAAACTATTGATGCATTTTATTTTTATCATTAGGAAATAAACTGAACACAACAAAACAAAAAACAAATTAGAATCAAACAAAAGAGACACCCATGACATTGACTAAGAGCATATGGGACAGTTGCACTGGACAAGAATTCCAAATAAATGAAAGATTGAGTTGAGGATGATCCTTTTTTTAGCCAATCAATCTGCACAACTATTACTTTCACAATGAATCCGTTAGTCTTGACTGAGAGTAGCTTGGATATTGGCAATAAGTGTTGCATAAGGATGAAACCTTAGTAGTCACATCTTCACCAAATCAATAGTCACCAAAGAGTCCCACTATATCGATAAGAACATTCTCTTTATTTTACATTATTTCCACCAAAATAACACTCAAGTTACTTCTCCTTTTAAGTAAAAGGTCAATAATTTTTGGTACTTTAATTTGTAAGAAACAATCATAATATGATTATATTATGAAACATATCGTTTATTTAATTTTTTAAAGACCAAATTTTTATAAATTAGTACAGGGCTCCCAAAATGTTTGAGATCACCCAATTGATAATGTGATGCAAAATTTTCAGTTTAAGAAATACCCAAAATAGATCAGAATCATGTCTCTTAGGCACAGATGTTAGACGTGGATGGAACATTTTATAGTGATTATCAATAGTGTTATTATATTTACAATTTTTTTTTTTCATTCCACTTCTACCACTTTTTTCCTTCTTATTTCTCTCTTCCGTTTTTATCACATCACTTATTACATTATGTTTCTATCTTTTCATTTTTCTGTGTCTTTTATCTTCTACTCCAAAATGGGGGTGTATGTTGAAATTTTCCCTACGCGATATCTTGGACTAGGAGATATATTCATAAGGCATTTTACTTTCTTCATACCATGACATACATACAATCATACAATACAACAGAAATGAGGCAATGAGCCAGAGCAAGTTGGATTATTATTTTACAACCACACAGGTCTTGAAGAACGCATATGAGGGCATGGGCTAAGGGTTTAAGAACCTGTCAAACCAATCAGCTGATTCTTTCACCTGGAATCTCGTTGGTTGATGTCCAACTTCAGGTTCTGCAATAAACTGCATGTCAAAGCTTTACTTTCTTCATACCATGACATACATACAATCATACAATACAACAGAAATGAGGCAATGAGCCAGAGCAAGTTGGATTATTATTTTACAACCACACAGGTCTTGAAGAACGCATATGAGGGCATGGGCTAAGGGTTTAAGAACCTGTCAAACCAATCAGCTGATTCTTTCACCTGGAATCTCGTTGGTTGATGTCCAACTTCAGGTTCTGCAATAAACTGCATGTCAAAGCAACCAATTATAAATTTGGAGAAAAAAAAATCATTAACATTCTCAACATGCTCTCTCTCTCTCTCTCTCTCTCTCTCTCTCTCTCTCTCTCTCTCTCTCTATATATATATATATATATATATATTTATTTTTTTTTTTTTTAAACTTATCTTCTTTTTTTTTTTTTTTTTTTTCTCTCTAAAATTTACTTTCAAACATATCTTACAAAGAATCGCCAACCAAACACCCCTTTGAGTTCTCACAATCAAATCCAGTATTAAGTGTATTAAATATAAGAAGTCAAGCTGATTAAATAAAGTCAATACCATACACGCACTCATATGTGTTTTCCATACTTTGGAAAAGGCACGCTAAATTCAAGGGACTTCCTTTCCACTTTTATTGTGATTTGTGAGACGCTTTTTTAATGAATCAATATTTTTAAAATTAGATCGATTATAAACAATTAATTTAAAATTTAATAATTTAATCCTAATTGAATCAATATTTTTAAAATAATAATAATATTTAAATAATACATGAAATAATATTACATGAATATAATTTCACAATTTTATAAAATTAAAGTTAAAATAAAATATCATTTTATATTTTTTTATTTTTTTTATAGTACATGTAAAAGTTTAAATATAATATTTAAGTTTAGAATTTTAATAAAATAATATATATATATATATATTAACAGTTTTATATTTAGAGTAAAAAAATCTTAAATAAATATAATATAAAATATAAAATATCATGATATAAAATTATAAATTAATATAAATGACTAAATTATATCTTTATATGAAAATTATTAAAAATAAAAAAACAGCATATTTTATTTTAATTTATAATTTTTATTAAATTATTTATTTATTTATCATAAAAATATTTTTAAAATTTTAGAATAAATAAATAAATATCAATTCAATCCAATTTTCTTGACCAATTTTGAGTTAGTTCATCCGACTTTTGACATTTTTTTTACATATTAATTTTATGATTCTTTCATACTGTTGATAACACATGTTAAACCTATTCTAATTAAACCGATAACGAAAGACCACCTTGGCAAGTTTAAATTTCTCGCCTAAGTGACCAAACAACACATTTTCATACCTTGAAATTATCTAAACAGTTAAACTCTCCGTGTGCCTGGCTTCCCTTTGTCCTTGGAATTTCCAAGCCTTCAATGGGACACCGAGGATCTTCCGCACCTAGTGTTCCCAAAAGCCAAGCAAATGCTTCAATTCAAAGTTAGCTTAAAATATCCACAAAAGCTAAATGAACGGAATAACTAAATTGACTAATACGGATAGATGCAGAGGTCTACTATGTTATTGATACATCCTAAAGAAGCCAAAACCTTATGTTGCAGCAGAGTGGTTACCCGGAATTTTCAATACATGCAGTTGTGTATGAATAAGGTTGCCAGATTCAATTTGAAAATGTTTAATGTACAACATAATACAAGGGTTTTACCATTAAGAATAAGCAAAGGACGTGGTGCGATAGTTGGAATTGAATAGGGTGAATCAAATTGGGAAGCCAAACCAGGAGCAATTCGGTCCCACACCTGATCAGAAATATAAAATTTTGAGATTAGTATATAATATCGACTGGAAACACTTTCGAATAACAAGAACAAAGTTATACATGGAAATTGTGCCCAGTGGGTGAAAAACTAGCAATAATAGGATACGTATCATGCGAGAAAGCATTGCATGTTTAATTAAAGCAATAAATCGAAGCATATACACTTCGTTTGGAGACGGAATCATAGTTGGATTAATAAAAACTTGGCTGACCTTTTCCACCACTTCTTTGTCAATAGCCACTTTACCCAAATCATCACGAGCCACTGCATTCAATAACCTGGGAGTTAGGGACATATATACCGAAATACCCAATAGATCGTACTCAAAACATTCCAACTTCACCATGTAATTTAATCCACAGGCAATCTATTATGAATGACCAATTGTAAAAGACAAATTATTTTATGTATTATGAAATCATACACCACGAGCTACATATATAAAGTGGTACTACGAGATTACTGGGTTTATATGAATAATATATTCCAATATAATATAAACCAAAAGATGAAGTACAAGAAGCAGTAACTAAAGCAAAGATAAGAAAATAGGTAAAAACATGAGAAATTTCAAAAACTCATTTGACATCATCTTACCCTCAAAAAGAGGCTTTATACTATCAACTCGAGCCTTCCATTTATCGTTGTCTATGGCCCATCGAAATCCCTGCAAGCATTTAGCACAAGTTTTTAAATTGTTTCAGAAACAAATTTTGCTAAGTAAAACCTTCACCCAATCATTCAATGCCACCTGAACGCCAATCAGAGGAACAACTACTGAATAACGAGTATCAGCAACTGCAGCAAACCATGCATGCATTCCTGCATCAAGGAATTATATAAGTGATGAGTGACATCAAGCATGCCATCTGACATATTCCTTTAAACTTCTTTCAACCAACCTCCGAGTGATATTCCAGTGATTCCTATCCTAGAAGGGTCTATATCCTCTCTCTGTGTTAGATAATCCGCTAATTTAATCAAGTCCCAGACCTGCCATATCAAAGAAAAATAATACACCATTTCTGAACCAAACTAATTACAAGTTTATACTGCCATAATTACATTTCATACAAATCATTTGGAGCATTAAGTGGCTCCATATTAACAATGTGGTAAAGTTTGATAAATAAGTAGTTACCGTGTCATATATGAATGGCATCGTCTCACCGGTTTTCCATGCAGAAATAAGTGCCTGTATATTTTTTTGGAGGAGAGGTTGTAGCCAAAACAAAAGTAAATAAAACATGATCAGATTTGAATTTTATACAGATGACTTATTTTTCACTTTCCCAACGATATTGGGGAAATATGTAAAGCAAAAGAGAGTCCACTTCTTCTTCAGGGAAACAATAATTGTTTAAGACTAATTACTTTTCCTAAAGCTTAATCTACGGTCTTCAGGGAAAATTACATACACTGTTCAGAACCACTAAAATACGAATTTGATTTGACATAGTAATCAAATTATTATTTTTGGAACTCATTAAAAATAACTATTATAGTTCATTTACAGACCAAATTCTATGTGGGAACTTACAATTTATTTTAGTTAATACCAAAACACTCTTTGGTCTTTAACACATTTCTTTGAACAATTTCTAAAAGACTTAAATTTATTAAAAATGACGAAACATCTGGGTTCCACCTCTTATTTAATAAGTAGAAAATATGTTTGAAAGAGTGACTCAAAAGTATATTACTCTACTCTACTTTATTAACATCACTCTCAAATGAATACGTAAATGAGTAAACTAATAAGGGCAGAATAATTAAATAATTATAACAGAACTACAATCAAATCCAAGGAACAAAGAAGCCGTGCATCCATTGCTTACAATGATAGTTGATTACGAGTTGGTAGTGAATAATAAGAACTTATTTAATTTTAGAGAGTAGTAGTGTTTATAATGAAGTTCCAATTTGACTATTTATAGGCATGATACACCACATTTGGATGATGGTGAAAATTTATGGACTCTTCAAGTCTCTAATTAATCTACACTCTTTTAATTTTTTATAAAAACTTATACATCTTATCTTATATTTTCTAGAATTTTTTTTTCTAGAATTTACATCATAATTTAACAATTTCAAAAGCAAATCATTTACTAAAACTGTTGTTTCAGATAAAGCATTTGAGATACGAAACGAGTTCACTGTTCCTACTAAAGCTTTTCCTAAATAAAATTGCGTAATTCAGCAAGAGGTATAAAGCTATAAAGTAAATCAGAGCAAAGCAAACACGCACCTCGCGATAGGTGGTTGTGCTGGTGGCACGTTCTCCATGGTAACGAGAATCAACAGAAATTGCAATATATCCTCGCGAAGCATACGCCTGAAACACCAAGGAGAAAAACCGAAATCGAAGCCAGAAACAAAATCCGCGATTATAATCAAATCAATTTATCACTTAGAACTCAGAAGTACATAGATTAATACAGTTTCAAATGAAAAATAACCTTAAGCAATGGACGCACGGCTTCTTTGTTCCTGTACGAACTATGAAGAAAAACAACCGCAGGCTTTTTTCTCCGCTTTTCGCTTTCCTTCAACTTCAAAATCAACACCGGCAACCGTCCTTGCTCTCCTTTCTACGATCCAAAATCAACGAGTTTTTTTCTCCAGTTCAAAGTCAATTCCGAATAACAAAATCATCGATTCAAAATTCAACACCAGAGAAAAATCGTGTTAATCAATTACTACCTCTATATTCAAGTACAAATTCTCCTCTTCGAGCAACTCTTCAAGATTCCCTATATCTGCCTTCGGACTCGACTCCAATATCTCGATCTACAATGTTTCCATGCGATAAACCAGTAAATGAAGTAGAAACTGAAAATAAAAATAAAAAATAAAAAAAAAATGCTATGAATTTTGAAACCTCTTCCTTCGTTAGAGGAGAGGTCTGCTGCAAAGGATTCTCCACCGGCTTCGCGAGTTCGACGGTTAGTGGAACTGAAACATAAATAACGAAGGAAATTCAATTACGAGAATCGTAGCACAATACAGAGCGAGACGGCGCAAGATAGTGAGTGAAGTTCGATTGTGATACCTTGAGCGGGTCGCCTACTACGCAGGACATTCAGGAACTCTGATCGGAGCTTGCTCTGAGATTCTTCAATGCTTTGTTTTTGCGCCATTTTGGTTTGGATTTCGCTGTGAGTGATGGTTCTGCTTCTCCATGGGAAATGCGTTTCGCGTTTATAATTAAGTGACTTTGGCGGGTAGGTGGTGCTAATTGGACGCTTGCAGCACGTGCCACTTAGCAGGCTCAGCACGTGCCGCGTTGGAAGCGGACTGGCATGTACAACTTTCATCATTTACCTCTCTTGCTTTCCAGCTCCTACACGGTGTTGTGGCCTTCCTCATATTGTCTTATCCTTTTTCTTTTTGCCAAGTTTTTGGATAAAGAAAGTAAGTGGATGCTCATTTAAGAGAGAATAATTTAACAACTAACTCTATTTAATTTAATTAATTGAGTGATTCTGTATGATTATTCATTTATTTGTGCTTTTATTTTGCATTTTCTTCTATTGCTTTTGAGGTTAATTTGGAAAGCACGTCCTTTGTTTAACATATGACAGGATGGAGGGGAAATGAAAAAGGACGAACAAATTGTAACAATAGACGAAGCTTCGGTTCGTGACGTTATCATGGTACTTATTAAATATAGATATGAGTGGGTTCTTTGATATTAATACAAATCTCGCATTGTTTAACAAGATTACAACAAAGAAATTAATAATGCTGTGTTTGTTCATACTTTGAACGATTGAGGAGTATAAGGTGAATAAGTAACTTCTGTTAAATAATATATTTTTGAAACAGTGAGATATTGCTTCACAGATGGCAAGAAAATGATTTGTTGGATAGAAAAATTGTTTTGCGAAAGAAAACCAGTTGGGAAATAACGATTTACAATCGTAGCAGAGGGCAACACAATGCAGACTGAAAAAACAATAGAGAGATTTCTTGTTTTTTTTTATATAAAAATAAATATGAATTTAAAGGTGATGTATTGTTCACACCGTGAAAAAATCATTATTGATATAATTTTTAACATGATTATTTTAAAAGTTAATAAATTTATTAGTTTATATTCAGATGAATTAAAATTGTTTACACCGTTAATACAAAGCTCTTTTTTTTTTTCCATAAATAAATATTTCAATGCAGAGATTTTTATTTATTTTTAGATAACATACACTAATACAGTATTTAATGTTATTTTTTTTTAGGGAAAGTATTTAATGTTATTAATATAGTAATTAATGATGATTGATATTGTTTGAAATTCATAGATCCTATTAGAAACTTCTAATTTTAATTTTTTAATTAAATTTTGTACTCTTTTTTAATTGTTTGAATATTATTTAAGTTTAACCGGTGTTTTTGAGATTACGTACTAAATATACAATTATTTTAAATATTTAAGAAAAAAACACTTTATTATTCATAATAATTTTATTTAATTTAAATAAAATTGTCTCCAGTAAAAAAAAATATGTGGTACAAATCAAAAGAGAAATTTTAACAATACCTAAGTTTTTATAATTATTATTGTTTATAAAATATAATTAACGTAACTAAATTTAAAAATATAAAATACACAAATATTAATATAATATTTAATCTTATTTATGTATAAATCATTTTTAAATAACATTATTATTGTATTTTTATAACATAGTATTTATAGGGAAAAAAAGTGATTTAT